ACACACACACACACACACACACACACACACACACACACACACAACACACACACACACACACACACACACACACACACACATACATACATACATACATACACACCCACAGACAAACGCTACTGAAAACATAACCTTCTTGGCGAAGGTAATTATGAATAAGCTGCAGGTAGTCCAAGCTTGCCTGCGTGTTGCTGCCATGACAACACTAGTACTGCGCAGGATGTTGCCGGGGCTAACCGGTTTACCGCTTATGATCTATCTATAGTTGCCTTGCCGCCGGCAGAAAAAAACATATCCTGTCGCTTTTGACTTATCAGTGGTAGCAACTAAGCTAATAACTCAGTGGTAGTCATTTGATTTCCACCAAGACACGTGTCATTTTAAAGTACAGTCTGATAATACATAAGCTACGCAGAAAATATAAGTCGGTCCACTCCACCATGTCTCCAATCAGATCCCTTTCGGTGGCAAAACAGTATCCATTAGCCAGAGAAGGTCACCGGCCACTGACGGGTGGTGGGGGTAGCGACAAACAAAAAACGGCCATATATATAAACAAAAAGCTAACGATCATCATTCCTATATTATCATAAACTTGAAATCTTTCACAAGTGAATACTCATGAATGATATTCGTGATAAATCACTTTATTTTTTTCAAGCATTGCTGTAGAAGAACGTTGTTTTTTACATTTTGCCAGTATTAAGAATTTATCCAATTGATATTATCTCTTCTGTGTACTCCGTCACGTGACGTTGATTTTACAACAACGCCGCGGTCCAAGATGGCCGTCTTCACTGATGACGTCATCCTAGGGCTAACCCTTTTTGCCCTGCAAAAGAAAACGGTCCAATCACAGCGCAGATATATGTTGTCTAGATTAAAGTTTAGTAGGTATGAAGAAAAGTAGTGTTGACAAAAATCACTGTTCGTCATCAACAAGACTGCATGTATGTAGCAATAAGAGAGATTGCCATTATATATTCCTTTTTTAGTTATATAGTCCACACTCTCAACACTGCATAAAATGTCAGCAAATAGAATAGATAAAACTTTATTGCATGTTCATTCCCCGGGGGGATAAATGCATGGATGTACAAAGTACAATGGACTATAGAGTACTACAACAATAGTAATAAAGAAAGGCTAACATCAGGTCTAAGGTATACAATGCTAAAAAAAAAAAGAAATATATATATAAAGTGGTATAGAACTATTCTGCAATCTCCTAATATACTACACATGTAGTACTTACCCATCCCGGTGGGTGGTACCATGCGTCAAGTGTGTCAATCACAATGTCAGGTGTAGGCTGGGCTCCGTTGCCATTGGCTCTCAGGTCGACTGTAGAAATAGGGGGCGGGGCGTTAGAAGGACGAGATCTACATATATACCTTCTTCTGATTGGTGCAGCCAACGGGTTCGTCTACCAATCAGAGGAAGCTTAAGTCAGGCAATCTCTCCCTTCAACCTCTACTTGGAGAGAACTACAAGCAAAATAACGACGGTCGGTTAAACGTAAACCAACAAACAAACATACAAGCAGACAAACAAATGATTCAAGAAACTGTTCGGTAAGTGCTTCAAGCAACTGTACATTGATGTGGTGTTTGTCTAATTATGTAATCTCTTTGAAATTTGAAAAATACGTCCGACTACTATGAATGGGGAGGGGGGCAAGTAAATGAATACCGTATTGTAGAATATATACTCACCCTTTATGTCAAGACTCTTTTCCTGTAGAGAGAGGGTAATAAGAATAACTACATAGCTTGTGAAACAAAAAAAATATATCGGACATTTTCGTAGCATCCAAATAAATACTACTACTGGTAATATATAATTGGTCGGAACTTTTTCAATAATACAGAGCGCAATAATTTTTCATGTTGCGAAATTGTGATGTATAAGCTTTTTGCTGTTTTACTAGGCCCAGATTCTTAATATACTCCAACAATAGTTTCTGCTACTTACAAATGGTGGAATGAACCAATCATCGTCCGGGTGAACAATGACGGGGGGCGCGGGTGTATGTGGATTTCCTCGCTCAACCGCTGGGCGGCGCTGCTGCATTACTGGCAGCGCTGAAAGGTGGGATTACAACAAGGTTATAGCCTATAACCTCATTGGTTACAATTTACAAACTTTTAATGTACGTACGTAGACTGGAACTCGTTGCCACCAAGCACAGTAGGGGCATCATCACTAGAAGGCTTTAAACAACTCCTGCAACTAAATGTGCAAAGATTGAGTGTAACAAGTCGAATGGCAGTTATACCGCCTTATACTGATACAGCTACAGATACCTATAGCTACTCAAAAGCGTGTGTAGTATTGATGTTATCAAACATTTTACAATACCGTGAATTGAAACTTAGTGAACCTTCAATCAGCTTACTAGATTCAACTTAGAAAGGAAAGCTTCTGCCACCTCTAGTATAATTTAACAGGGTCTAAATAGGGTGGACCATATGGTAAAATTTGCTTGAGGGCATGTTGGTCTGGCCTGTGTAGACATGGAAATAGTCAAGCCCCCAGGATATATCACTCAGTGATATAATGATATGAAATATATGGTCTGTATCTGTATCTGTATACCCGGTATAACCGCCTTTCGGTGTAACACACCAGCTATTCACGAGTCGTTCACGAGTCTATGGGTTTTTCTAATTTCCAGCCCTGTTTCATAAACTACAACTTGACTCGGCATGTCTTTTCCTTCATTAATTCAAAACTAGGCAAAAGGCGAAGCCTGGTCAATTTTTTTTCCATAAATCCAAGCGGTTGCTGATCATGATCATTCTCTAAGCTTCGGCCATTTAGTGGTCTCCTTACATTGTCGTGCTTCATAAAGTACAAGTGTTCCACAGTAAAACTTCCTGTAAATTCATTAAAATATCATAACATATTTTTACTTGTACCTAGTGGGAAGGGGGGGGTGCAATAGACGTTTATCACAATATGATAATCATAAACAAAAAATATGTACCATACCGGCTGCATGGAGATACATCGTAACCATGACGACGGCTATGATGACGATGTGTCGTCCCATCCTGACGAAACTCGGTCGTCTGCAAATCTGTCAGTCAAACGTTGGAAAAGCGCAGGAAACTTTCTGACGACTTTCCGCTGAGGTCCCGTGGAATATTATGCACACTCCTACTGGCAACAGCTGCTAAATGTATACCCTTAAAAATTTGTTTGTGTCCTTTATGACCTTTTCAGCATAACGATAGGTCCGGAATCTAAGGATGCTTGAATAAACATTTAGCTCAAAGTATTGGAAAACCAGGAATGTATAACAATATTATGTTTGCAAAGGTCTTGACCTTTTACCTACATTTACAGATTTACATATAAATTACATGTACATTTTCAAGTCTAGAACAAAAAAAAGAGCTAAAGTATACTACGTATAAAGAACGCCAATTTGCATGCTATCTTTTACACACGACATCAAAGTTTTTTTTGCTAATTAGTATTCTTATGATGTATTATGATACTAGTTGGCCTGTAGGGTTACTGTTTTCAAAAGACGTCCAACATCCACTTAAGATACCCCTGTAGCTAAAACTAAGGTCACTTTGACCTTTCTACAGCGATGTAAGGGGAGCGATTTAATTTTATGGATGACGTCCACGCGCGCATTGATTTTCACCTGTTCAATTTTCTTTTTTATTCGCACGCTCGCATCAGTTTTGGGGTTCCCAGAGGATGTCATCCATACAATCAAATCAACATGGCCTAATCCAGTGTGGCTACTGACAGTAGGGAGCCGGCGGTAACTACGGAGGGCGGCACCCAGGCTACCGAAGCTCCTTGGAACCCTAGAACTCAGTACAGTGTCGACTCATGAATGCTGCAGAAGGTACGCATGTGCTTGCTTGTAAAAGTAGTCATATATATGTACAACCGCAAATTCACAATACCAGATTTACATTCCTGTGGTTTTTCAGTATTTGGGAGGGGTGGCCGTGGGGTGGGGTGGGGTGGGGGCTTGTACTTTTTTTATTCGCCCGCTCGCATTAGTTTTGGAGTCTTCAAAGGATGTCATCCATAAAATTAAGGCAGTGTGGCCTGAAAGGGGTTGGAGAGCCAATAATAAAAGTACAAAACAGTAGGACAAATCTCAAGGACTTGTTTGTGTGTAGATTACCATGGTAACATGTAAATATTTTCCTTCAACGTCCAACTTGATATATATGTCACAGGGTGACAGGGGAGATTTGAATCCGGGGCAAACATGGGATTGTCCTGATTTAAATAATTCCTTCATAAATTATGCAAATTAAGTTTTATTTGCGTAATCATCATCTAATGTGTACATCTTTGTCTAAGCCAACTATTTTCTTGACATAATGAAAACCGTATAGCAATGTGTATGTGAATATATAGAGAGGAAAAACATGTGTACTAGTATATGAGAGAGAAAAATCTCGCTTCCCGGCGTTTAACAGTTTCTGTATGTAGAGTGTCATGGTATTAAATATTTCCCTGTTGTAGCAAAGTTCACGTACAACTTAATCATTGCAGTTTGGAACAAAACCGGCAGGCGGCAGTGCTAACGAGCACTTGACCCGGAAGTCGTGCAACATAAGCGTCATCACACCATTCCCTTACCATTTCCAAGAAGAGCAAACGTAACACAGTGTCGCCAGCTTCCTCAATATCTTTCTACCCAACGCAGACGGTCTTCTATCTGTTCAATACGTTTACCCTGTACATTTTTCGCGTGGACGTCAGAACTTTGTCTACAAAACAACCATGCCTATTGTACGCGTCCTGACGCCAAAGGAAAGGCTGGTAAAGCTCGGTATTGGGATGCTGTGTTCCGTGGCTTGTCTAGCCGCGATCTTGCTGGTAGTTCTCGGCATCACCGTGGCCCAGCCAGCGGTGCTTCGCATGCGGACCCGCCAGGCAACCTGCCGCGTGACCGGCTCTCACTTCGTCGGGGACAAGCCCGATCGTCCCAGCCGGTTTTCCTGCAGCTGCTCGCTCGGTCGGTACGACGTCTGTATGAGCTCGTACAAATGTCTTGTGATCTCCGTAACGTTCAGTACCGAGGACGGGGAAGAGCGAACAGCTGATCTAGTGGAGTCCGAAAAAGATCTTGGAAACGAGGTTAGTAGATCTATTTAAAAAGCAAGATTTCTCGGGGGATGGGGCGTAAGAAAATTAATGTTATGTTTTGTGAAACTTTAATCTTATCTATAATATCGAAGAGTTATAGAAGTCCCTATTGACAATGTCTAAAGCACAATATCATAAGGACTATTCAGTAGCAGAGTTTGAATTGTCTGTGGGTATCATTAGGATTTTACTAAATCATGGGGCTCTCCGATATAAATTTGAGTGTAAAATGTTTTTGGCGACGCCTCAGTGGCGAGCCTAATAGTGTACATGTACTCACCCGCTATTTCCATCACGGCCATTCGCATAAGTCGAGGATTTGAATAGAATTCTGTAGTATATATATATATATGAAACCAGTTTGGGAAAATTCAGGAATTTGTACTGTTTACAAAATAGCAACAAGAAACTGCAATTCCGTAAATGATTTTTGTACATGATCAGCAAAATAGACATTCAACCTACGCCATAGCATATTACCTGCCTTGTTGTGGTCGTGACCGTGTTATAAGGATTGTTGTGTTTTGTTTACAGTGTGCGATTGTGCCCTGTGACCGTGACCACGCGTTGAACGACGATATGGTGGAGGTGTACCAACAATACTGGGGACTGGCCGGCCAGACCTACCCCTGCTGGTACGACCCGGGAAACCCCTCCGGTGCAGCCCGTACCCACCAGAAATCTTCCTCCATTGAAGTGTTTCACGCGCTTTTCTGGCCAGCCTTGTTTCTGGTGGTGTTCTCCGTAGCGTTCGCCCTCGCCTCCATCCGGTTTCAGCGGTACATTGAGGCGACCCTTCCGACCAACGAGTCCAACAACCCCTGGTCTCGTCTCCAGGATGAACCGGAAGGACCCGGGGACGAGAATCAGCTCCAACCCTCTTCAAGACCCAAGCTAGTTTTCGAAAACTTTGCGTAGGGACATTCTTTTTAAAAAGTGAAAGAAGAGTCTATATTGTTCTAAAGAAGGGGAAGAGTTGTCCAGAGATAAGATAGAAGAGACCTGATGGCACGGAACATCGTCAAACGCGGGTTGAAATATTTATTGAAACGTCAGATAATGAATGTTGCCAAACACACTACAAGTAATGTTCTATGTGATGAAGTACTTTCAGTGAAATATTTGTGTTCGCCTATTGTATATACTAGGATTTGTAAAAAGGAAGTTGTCAGATTATTCTCGTACGAATATATAAAAGGCTGACCGTACATGTATACATGTTCGAATAGAATCAGACAATATGTGCAATTTTTATCACTTCCTCTACACTGCAGCTGCTAGAATCAAACCATCTATATTTATGTTTACCAAAGGAAAACATATTGTTTTTACTCAATTTCCTCTTCCTCTTCTTCTTCTTCAAAGGCTAACCTCTGACCTGGCCAATGACATGATTTGTTGACATCTGTCACCATGGTGACTGGTGTTGGTTTACATAATGTTGCAAACTTCATGCTCTGCTCTGCTCCTGTCATCATATACTAGTAGTACATGTATGTGAATATGTTTGAGTAAAAATTAACAGGGCAGACCATGTCCGAAGGTTAACATTATGCATTTGCTTTGCAAATGTTACTTCTCTATCATTAACCGAAATCATGGTTCCAACTGCGCATATGCGGCATGATGCATTGTGGGTAATATGTTAAAGTTGCAGGTCCCTGCGCAGTTTAAACCATGAACCTGCTTGTTGTATCCAAAATAGATTCACCTACTTAAAAGTTCGAACTTTGTACAACTTCATAACGGAAAGTGGAAATTAGAATTAGTTACGATAAGAAACCATAAGTCTGATCCACAAAACGTATCATGAAATACAAATGAGGCGATTTCAGCACAGTTGTGCCCCTTGACGTCTTTATTCCATCCTTTTAGCTTTGACCGCTTCCTTCCTCAACTTTGAACTCTGACCTCGCCTTGTGACCCGAGGTGCCGACCTCCATGGGTCGAAGGTCATGATCCTCTTTGCCATCAAAGGAAGTTCTCTTGCCCTTTGTGGAAGATAGGAATGGATGAAAATCATCAAAAAAGGAAAACGTCAAAATTATATAGAATTGTGTGTGGAAAATAAATAACAGAGAACAGTATTTTTGATGACACGTTTCCAGTATAGGAAGGTCATACGTACCATCATGGGGCTGTACCAGTCGTCATCTGGATTGATGACGACATCTTGTCCATTTTTCTTGGACGCTAGATGGCGCTGTTGCTTCAGCTCTGACTCCAACCTCTCCAACAGTACGCCTGAGAAACAAACATGGAAAAATGAAATAACGCCTTGTTTTGCCTAATCAAATATACTTACCGAATACATAAGCCATTATTGAGAATATTATGCTGACACATTGACATACAAGCACCGGTTTTCGTACAGATTTTAGTACCAGAGTCATTGAGATATTTTACTCGTTTCTAGTTCTATAACGTCTTGAAAACAACAGAAACTGACTTCTGTCCAAGTTGTTTGAAATAAAATCCCCGTCTTTCATGTGAAATTGTGCACACCAGCATAAGACAGTGACGCTGTAAATTCAACTTATACTAGTAGTATATAGTTGTTGTTTTTTCACGTAGCATATATAAGGTATTAAAAACTCAACAATCTAAGCGACTATAGAGCAACAATGGAGAAATTAAAACTCGTCGTATTTCTACCAACCTGTGCTTTCGGATGAGTGAATCAAGATGGCGGTGACTAGGATGACAACAAGAAGAGTCTTCATGTTGTCGTCTGGTAGGAGTGATCGTCAGGAAGATAACAGCAACAGCAAATCTCCTGGCCGCCCAAAACTGTTCTTCTGTCGTGAACAGATGCCTTGCAGACGATAGTTTCTCAAACTTTATCAAATTCTCTCAGATTTTACGAACAACGTTGAAAAAAACGATTTCGTTGTATAATCTGAGGTAAAAGTTACAACAAAGTGCGTGCGAAGCTCGCTCTAGTACGCGTTGGACGACTTTTAGCCCTTTCCTCAACTGGCGGGAACTTGTGGCGGGAAACTGCACACGAGAGCACCTGGCAGACGGTTTATAAATCCTCCATTCGTCGCCATGGCAACCATTCGAATGTTTGCCGTGTCAGACGACATCATTCCTCTTGAGATTACAACGGAATCCATAAAATCCGGACGTCCTGGTTTGAACAGTCGTAGGTTTATCATTTTGTCAAGAATTATCTCCAGATTGTGTTGGTTTCTGCCACAGTGTTTGCCTTCAGCGTTCTTTTTTCGACCACTAAAATGTCGAGTATGGCCGCGCCAGCTTTCGTCACGTCACCACAAGCTTTTGGCAAACAATCGTGACATGCTAAAAAACGAACGTCAACTATTCATCAAGTATTTGTAAATTAGGGATTGGCCTTCAAAGGGAACCTCTCAGTCCCAGTTACATCTTCTCAATTGTTTAGCAACCTTATCTGAAGATTATCTGATGGTGAGAACAAATACTATACAAATTGCATTTATATATTTCTAAGAGCGTTGCCACAGTCGTTTGAGTGTTTCGTTCAAGGGAAAAAGCCGATAAATTTTTATGTAGCTAGTTGCCAGAGTGTTCTCTTTTGTGATATGTATAATGGTTCGGCAGTGACGAAAAAGAATTAACAGGGGATCATAAAATTGACAATTTTAGTCTAGGAAACAACTGTGGTCCTTGTAAAACTACCATTTTCCTTTGCCGGGAGACTAGATCTTGTTTTGTTCAATGGTGCTCTATGCAGTTGGGGCTTGAAAACAGATTTTTCGAAGTCAATATTCTAGTCACTTATCTACATACTACAAACATAACACTATCCCAATGTATATCCACACTCGTGGAGCAAAAACTCCGACAATTATGACGGAGAATATGTGAAAAGGATCCTAAGCTATTTTTGGGGTATCACACAAAAAATAAAGGACTCATCTTGGGGCTTGTATCTGCACTGTTTCAAATGCACAAATGTGCTAATGTGGGACAGAATGTGTCAATATCATACAGATTGCCTTATTCAGAATATTTCCAATTTTGCCGCCCTAAAATTGCATTGGATGTGAATATAATGGATAAAACATAGCTGTTTGACCATTTTCACTCCAAGTGCTGATAAAAAGCATTTTTAACACTCCTCAACCGCAAGAAGAAGGCGAGTCAGTTGAAGAAGGCGAGTAACTAGCTAGTACTGTTTTTACGATTTGCACATGACGGCAATATAAACCTAATACTAGTACTTGTTATTGACATTTGGGAGACGAGAAGTCGAGGGTTTGTATTTAATTATATCCTCTCGACATGCTACGTATGAAGTCCCTGGTAAACAAACTGTTCTATCATTTTCACGATATTGCTGCAATAACCGCCATTAAGCATCTGGCGCTGAGAAGCAGTACCGGAAGTGACGTAATGATACTCGAACACCATACCCTCCTGCCCCCCTCCCCCACCGTTTTTCTCAATTTTTACATAAATGAAAAAATCTCCCCGTCTCGCATGTAAGAAGAACACTTCTCTACATTGCATTTTATTGTGGCGAATCTTACTGGCAAAAGCTAGTCACATATAGAAAGCCTACTATAGTAAATTATACAACATGATTTAGTTTTATTACATTGGGAATTAAATTTACAGCCATTTATGTTTAAACATTTGGCCATACATTCCTTGCAAGCCATAGTGATCCTGTTTGATGACAACTATTTATCATTTCTTTTACTTTTATTCAATTTATGACCTGTGTATATGGAAGAATCATAATGTTTTGGCCTAATCTGTAAGCAATACTTCAGCTTGCCTCGCCCATATTTTGACACTTTTGTTGTGCCGAACTTGTTGACATTTTTTCTTTGCTCGCCGCCCCACCCTTCAAAAACATCTGTTCCTCTTTTGTTTTACTTCCTCAAAACTCAAAACAGGGCTATAGCGTCCTTGTTTACAGTGGAACGTACATGTAATATGCTACAGGCTACGATAGAGAAAGGCATATCTCTCTCTCTCTCTCTCTCTCTCCCTCTCTCTCTGTATGTCTGTCTGCTTTAAAATATCTATTCCTGTTTCTAAACATCAAATTTCTTGACTACGCCTCTTTCGCAGAAATATTCGGAGAAATAGATTCTCTGCAGGGGCGATCTTCGCACACCAGAGGCTCATGGGAAGGTCCCGGATAGACCATCATGCATCACTTCGGTGGAGTTCCCCTTTTTGCAGATAGCTGTGGATTAGAAATAAGATATTAATACATGAAAATTATTATATCTTTGGAAACTGGCAGAACAATAACGAAAAACGGGTTGTGCCAAATTAATATTTTTCATTACTCTTGAGAATCAATTTATAAATTATGGGTTTGACGAGAATTTTGTGGCTTTAGATGTTGAGTTAGTTGGTTTGCAGGTCTTACTCTGATCCATATGATCGTGCGCCTCCACATATTGGCTCCTGGCGAAACAGTTGACAACCGTCTTGTCGCATTCACACAATGTCCTCTTGCATGTTCCATCCTGGTCACCTACATACAGAGAAAACAACGTGGTCATTCCACCAACATAAAATGTGTTCCTGTTGGCAAGTTGATACTTCTCTGTTGAACGGTTTTGATTCTAGTTATGTCTTACCGCACGTGACGGTTTTGCCATCGATGCTGTATTTGTAGGCCGTCAGGTATTGCTTGACCGTCCACCTGCACGGAGGCTGCTCCAGGGCCTCGTAACAAAAGTCGTGCGTTTGGCAGCAACTGGAGAAAAACAAGAAATCAGAAGTTTTAGATTTTCAGGAAGTATTACGCCTTCCTGAATTCCTCCATGTCGACCTTTAATCCATGTTGGCTCTCCAGCCAGATTTCGAGACCCCTGACCTCCTTCTATACTACCTGTCAATCTTTACCCACGTGCTGTCAAACTACTCTGTGTACAAAGTCACAGTTCTGGCACAGTGTGTGTGTCTCTTTGTGTGTGTGTGTGTGTGTGTGTGTGTGTGTGTGTGTGTGTGTGTGTTTTCGCCACATACTTGTGATCAAAATAACTTAAGAAGGCTATTATGGATTGTGATGATATTTGGTATGTGGGTAAGTCTTAGGAAGACAAAGGTTAAGGTCAAATTTGGGCCTCCTGGTGGCTGACCTTGGTACTGCAGCAGAACCTTTTTTTTGTATCTTTTGTAAACAGGACGTAAACAGGCATGCGGACCCTCCCACCTGTCCGTAGCGTCCACCGCGGGTCCCTGGCCGCCCTTGCCGCACCAGCACCCGTAGTTCCAGTACTTCCACGGCGGCCTGCCCGTTACCTTGGAGATCATGACGCCGAGTTGCGTCACGGCTTTAGGCATGGCAACCACGTGACCACAGAGGGCAAAGGTCACGAGGCAAAGAAGAGGAAGCAGTCGAACCTTTGTGTCGAGAAAAAGAAAATGGTCTGTTCAAAATGTTATATTTGTATGGTTATCTATTGCAATAAATATCTTAAATAATTAGTAACGATCTTATGGTCAATTTTGGTCTTTCTGGTAGACGTTCTCATACTTTTCCATAAAGTTCTAGCGATGCTTGAGATTTGTTGCGCTCTAGATGTTTCTCTTTCAGTCAAGGTAGGCAGGTGACATGTCTGGATCAAAAGCGCCCAATCTTAACCTATCAACCATTGAAGGAACTGCAATTAACAAACTTGTCATTGCGGACTCAAAACAAGGAAGTTCCGCAATTTGCGTACATGAATCAGCTTGTTTGAAGCGGGGAATCCACACGTTATAATTAGTACCGTTCATTCCAAATACACAAGAGGACGAGTCGACAATTCTCGACAACATTTGCCAACCCATTCTGGCATCTTTCACTTGGATTAAAACTGGTCCAAAATCACTTTCACATTGGAACAACAATACAATCAAGACATGGCCCTTTAAAGTGATTAAAATGGTATATAAAAAGGTAGCAACTTGGATAGGGCCTAGGGGTGTTCAGTTAGAATCTAAAGGTTCGAATTCCTGGGTTAGATCTCATAGCAAGCCCCAATGTTGTTCCCTTGTGAAAGGTACTTTATACCTTTTTCACTCGACTCAGGTGAAAATGAGTACCTAGCTTTGGACGTAAAACCATAGGTCCAGTGTTTGAGGAGAGCCATACCTCTAGAACGTTAAAGATCCCACCACACTTATCAAAAAGAGCAGGGGTCCTTCCCGGTGTGAGTGGTTCAAACCTTACATGTGGAGTGTTAACACCTAACTGAAGTTTGCCAGTATATTTAAATAAACACAAAGATATCCTATATAAAAACAAACCCTGGTACCCAAGTACAAACAACAGTACAATACGTCACTAATTAAATCTATATTTAAAGCTGAAACTATGTAAGTATATCGAAACTTACCATTTTGAGACAGCTTTGTGTCGTGGTTTTCCCGTCTGTTCCCCGAAGCTTCTTCCCGAATTGTGAACAGAGAGGTTCAAAATTGCGGAACAGGAAATTTGCATACAGGTGACGTTACTTCTTGAAAACACCGGAGGGCTTGCCGCTTTCTCTTTTGTTTTCTTGCTCTCAAGCAGAAAGAGGAACTCGACTACCAATAACTGTGGGCGGACACTGGCTCCCGGTATACTGAGTAAATATTGGAACCACAAAAGTGGGTATGCTTAAAAGCGCCCTCTCCTGATTACGTGCAGTACTTCAACTAACATGATGATGATATGTTTGTTAGTAACCTTCTAGTTACATGGACTAACAATAATGATACGTTGAATATTCTTGATGCTAAATGAAGACATAAAATCACAAGACGTATCAACGTGTATACAATATATGATTTATGATTTCAATGAGGTAGTCATCATACATCTAATTACATTGAATTGCTAAACTTAATACTGTTGACATATTTCATAGTGTGTTTGCTGTCACGTGACCATCACAAAATGATACTAGTAATAATGATATATTATGCATTTTATGATGTAATTCATTAAAGGAAACTATATGTACTTCCCGAAAGTTTTAATGTTTAATTTGTTGTTACGTAAGCGCTGGCTGTGACGTCACGTGTACAAACGCCACGTTTGACTTATCAGGTTAACCATCCAATATGGCGGTTATGACGTCACGTCCTAACACCCGCTAGGCTTCATGGGATCGTTCAAGAAGAGCCCGAAAGCAACTGATGAATCCAGTCCTTCCAGCTAACTGCTTTCTTCGTATCCGCAGCCTTTTCCGTATTCTGAGATTCCGCACTGTCTTTGCAGACATCTGTAATGTTAAAAAAAAACATGGCGTCATCACGGATGGACAATTCACATAGCAGCTGGACATTGGGAATTCGAAAGAGGATTGGACTGAATGGAGTGTAATCAACATTCTTATGCAATCTTATTTCGCAAGTTTTTACATGAAGGATAACATTCTGATTTTAGATTTGATACTGAGTACTAACCCTGGTTCATGTGGTTGTGTGCGGGTACGTAAGTACTCCTGGACAGACAGGTGGCCAGACCCTTGTCACACTCACACAGGGACCGCTTACAGGAGCCGGACTCGTCCACTGGATACAGGGGGGAAAATACTCCTATTATTGGTGTTTTATAAACATAATTTTCATGAAGTAAAATATCCTATCGATGTATTAGTACTAGTTACCAACATTCTGTTCAATAAAGAAACTGAAGCAAGTTTACATTGATGATTGGAGATGTGATATAGAGAACGAAAACCACCAAATTCATGTACATGTACATTTTAAAGGGCATTTACATTCTTCCACTTTTTTCCGTTGTAGGAGCGTTGTCGATACATATAAAATATACAAAACGGTCACAAGAATGCCCCCAATGTGCTAAAGCTATCGAACATGACAAGCCTATTAGTACAGTGTATATTGCATGCAGTACACGTGACGTACGACAGGTGACGTTTCTGCCCTGTATGTTGAACTGATAGGGGACGAGGTATGTCTCCGCGTCTCCCCATTTGCAGGGCGGGAGGTCCAGGGCGTCATAACAGTGGTCATGTGTACGGCAGCAACTGTAATATACATGGAACTATGTCAAACGTTTGGCCACAATTTAGCATTCATGTCGCAGTACCTATGTCTTAACTCTTATAAAGGTTCATCTGTATTGGTAGACATCATTATGAATTCGAACTGGCAAGTGATTTTCAACACAAGAATTTGGGCAACTTCAGTCTTTGTCAAGGAGATCCACCGCTTCTGTGACGTTACGTTATGCATGCAAGATTTATCGGCAATGCCAGTTTAATCTTGCTTCATAATAAGTATTTTAACCTGTAATATCTACTTCTAGATGTATAGATATTGGTGGAATTTCTGATGCATGTCTATAGCTAGACACTTTCCTTTGTACTAATCAATATTGTCTACTTAAGGCAGTACTGAATATGAAGACGTGACTCACAAGTCTGTCCCGTCCACGGGCGCCCCCTGTCCGCCGGGCCCGCACCAGCACCCGTAGTCCCAGTAGGCCCACGGCTCCCGTCCGGTCAGCTGAGGTCAAACAAACGTATGGAAATTTATGTAAATTTATGCAAATTATGCAACTGAAAACAAATTATGTAACTGAAACTGAACAACCAATGTACAATGTTTGTACATGAAGACAAATCTGACGACAATATGGAAGGAAATCTTTTAAGCAAAAACTAAGATTATGAAAACGGTTACATGTAGACGTTTCAACTAGCCGTTCACTATACATGTGTATAAAGTTTATAAACCTGTTGAATTGATGAATTGAAGATCTCACCAATGTCACTGACGAAAGCTAGTGGATGCTATCTGAAACGTCTGACCGTTTCCAAATTATCCGGTTTCTTGAGTAACTGTTTTTCAGTCACTGACGAATACTTTTCGATGCTACAGTAGCTACTTGAAGGAAGGAGGGATGGAGGGAAGGATGAAAGAAAAGATGAATAAGGATGCTGACCCTGACTATCATGTCTCCGAGTTGCTCCAGTAGTCGTGGCGCGGCCGCCGCCCAACAGCCAGTGAACGTCAGGACGAATAGACACAACACCCGCGGCTGTAACAAGGTTATAAATAGGAATTATAACACTTTTTGTATCAACATATTTGTGCAACCATCTCACATTTCTGACATTTATAGTTGCCGTAAAAAACATGTTACAAGAGGAACACCCATTTTGTGCCATCCATTTTGTGGTACCACCACAAAATACCAAAATGTAAACAAACATGATGTAAGGCATCATATTTTGACACCTCTACTTCCTGGATTCGAATGGCAAAAAAACTGTAATTAGTCCCGCAAAGCTCCTAGCCTGGGTGCCAGGCTCCGCAGTTACCACCGGCTCCCTACTGTCCTAGGCTCCATGATAGCTAGCCGGTGGTAACTACGGAGGCTGGCACCCAGGCTAGAAAGCTCCTGTTCCACTTGGCTAAGAGACATATTTTTCAGTGGATTTTAAGAAAGATGCGCTAATTGCGAGTCTTTCTTTGTGAGACTGCAGGACTTATGCAAAATATCTACCAACAACTCATGCATTTCCTAAATAAGATCATGTGTCCTGGGCTTTAAGAAATTAGGTCAACCGTATGTGCTTATAGGGTGTTGTCTCCTTATACCCTTTTCACTGGAAGCTTCGGCCGCGTAGAGACCAAATATTTGAGAAATTGCCCCACGAATTTTGTAGATGAAGAATGAACAAATTCGCTGTTCAAGTCTTTTGTGTTTTTCTGTCTTTTATATCATATGTTCACGACGTGCATCATATTCCAATGATAAAATTATGGGTAATACAATTCCAATTTTTGTCGCTCAAGCGAAAATACTACACAACCCGAGTTTTCGTGTGCACTGCTATTTGTTTCGTAAGCTTTTTGGCGAGGTCTTTTGTCTTTATTCGCGCCTTAAAACCACGATACGTCCTAAATTATTTATCGTAACATCCACATGTGTATTACCTACTATAAACCCGTTCGTGATATCCTCTTTAAACTATTCATATGGAAGCCGTTGTCTTTACCTAGGTAAGCTAAATCTCAGATATTTCCCGCCGGCTTGAATCCTATTCTTCCTCAGTTGTACATCGAGAAAAAAAACGAAAAAAAATTCTTCTGGCTTATATTTCATGGGTCAAAAAGGAAAGGAGACGGCTATTTCTACTGTGTTATTATCTAACATCAAAGAGTTTTTCAACATAGAAACCAATTTCAATGGAGAAGTATGATTTCACATTAACAGTGATCAGAAACAGAAGCTGCCGGTATATATATATATAACACCTATATCATAAATAGTATCAGGACATGTTAGCTGAAAGGCTGAAATATGGCACATTGGTTATACGATATTTAAACCATTAAAAACAGCCAGCTCAGACAAAATTGACCTGCTAGCATTCTTGTTCACGTACCGAAGAACATCTAGGACAAAATGGCGTCCACTTCACAGGCACTCAAGCAGAAACAGATGATTCGACAACTTGACTTCAGGAATCAAGTACTTATAAACCAAACTGTCGCCACAGTCATGGACGTCTCGTGTAATATTTACAACATCTTTGTTGTTGTTGTTTTTTCTTTCTTCAAACCGCTGTTGCTGTAGCACTGAAGCTACGCAAACGAACAGACTTGTATTCAATCGAGCATAACAGGTGCTGGCGCCCAACGCTTTCGTATGAGTGACAGATACAAAATGTCTAAAATACAGCTCAAAACGTTTTAGTCCCACCTACCTCCATTGCCACAGCAGATACGATGTTTTAAAGGCCTTGGTGGAGGGGGTACCCCTTGCGGGGGTATCAGGAAAGCGTTCGGCACCCCCCTTTTCCGCGAAGTAGATTGTGTATACAGAAACGGGTCAGGTAGTTTTTACGTAAGGGAGTACGGTGGCCCATAAGTACACTTAGTATTTTTTATTCCACTTTTATTTTCTATGGGTACTTTGTATTTTCTATGGGTACTTTGTATTTTCTATGGTGTTACTTTTATTTTCTATGGGTACTTTGTATTTTCTATGGGTTACTTTTATTTCTATGGGTTACTTTTATTTTCTATGGGTACTTTTATTTTCTGTGGACACTTTTATTTTCTATGGGTACTTTCATTTTCTATGGACACTTTTAGTTTCTATGGGTACTTGTTTCTTTCTGTGTGTACTTCCATTTCCTATGGGTACTTTTATTTTCTATGGACCTTTTTTATGGTAGACCGAACCAAACAAAAAATAGTAACCCAATGAAGGGCGCACAAAACGATAAATCGTACAAGACGATAAAAATACCGCTCTACCCGGCGAGATCACAGAGACCCCACCAGGTAAGCATACCGGAGTACCCGTTTTTAATTGGGGTATAACAAAATCAAAAAGGAGTGAAAACTAGACAAGAGAGACAGGAGGTTTTTTAACTATTTTCTTTTTTTTTCAACTTTTCGACGTGACAGAGACATAGACAAAGGAAGGGGAATAGAAAAGGATGTGCCAAGCTACCCACGACAGGTTACTGTCCAAGTGCTCCCACCAACCCACTCCTGCCAACTTGACACATCAAAAATAAAAATAAATGAA